ACCTCTCTCACCAAGATGCTCTCTATTCATGGTTTTACTTGCTTATGTTTGAGAACAGGGCTTCTCAAGCTTAGATGTGCAGAAAACAGCTCCCAGGGCCCCACCCCCAGGGATTCTTATTCAACAGGTCTAAGACAGGACCCCGACACAGTCATTTCTCACAAGCTCCTGGCAGATATTGGGGCTGCCTTCATTGGATCACACTTTGAGTAACACCGTTCCAGAACGTTTTAGCTTTAAGAAGGACGCAGGGAGGGCTGTGCTTGAATATGGAAGCTTGCCTGTTAGACTGTATGTTATATATGTACGTTAGATGAATGATTTAAGGAATTTTATGAGCTGTTAATGTTAATGTTTGCTTATTTGATTGTCTGTTTGTTTGTGTCTTCTGCTTGGTTGCCATATGATCAGCTCAAGCCATTAAACTTTTCTGTATCTCAACCATTATCTCAAAGGGGCTAATTTTTAAAAACTAAAGCTTTTAGTTTAAAAACTAAAAGGTCTCCTTTCCTCAGGGATAGGTAATAACTCTGCAAATGCAAAAGAGCTTTCAACAGTCCTATCCCACTAACCCAGCATTCCTAGGATGTGGCGGGGACAGGTCGGCATAGATCCTCTGTGCTCCATGCAAACAACAAAACAAGGCTAACGCCTTGTTTGAGACAAATGTCCAGGGCCAGATGCTTGGTCATCCAGGAGTGGGGATGGGTGTAGGAGGTGAGAGGAAAGGGAAAGAAATCCTGTCTTCACTTTACCTTAAAATAGAATGAATTTAACTTTAATGTCCAAAAAAAAAAAAAAAAAGCTGGACCAATAACAAGCATATGCTTGAACCTCATGAGGAATAAGGAAGAATACACACCATTTTGTGCCTGTTCTCTAGCAACCTGTCAGAAAAGATCTTTCACAAACTAGGAACTTTTGCTCTCCTGGGTATGAGCTGCAGAGCCAGAAAAACTCCTGGGTGCATGCGCACACACACACACACACACACACACACACACACACACACACACACACACCTTTAGGCAGACAACATACGCAACCCACAGACACCAAGTCTAATTGTCACCAATGAACAGGATAAAGTTGCCAAATTAACACAGGTTAGAAATCCTTCCCTATTGAATGAAGTCATCAGCAATTTCAATTTCATTGTTCATTTGTTTGTTTGTTTTTTTTTTAAAAAAAGCACTCAGGGAGCGATCACTTCCAAGACCTGGAGTGGTCACTGCACTCCAGTCTGGGCAACAGAGTGAGACTCCAACTCAAAAAAAGAAAAAAAAAAAAACCACTCCAAAGCTTTCCAGGTTTTTTTAATTCCAAGGTAAAAATTGGCAATGTTGCTTTCTTTTTGCCTGAGATTTGAGTCTATGAGGTGCTCTGTTGAGAAGGGATCTTGCCGATGCTGGGGGCAGCCCCCAACACAGGCACCTCAGCCCCTCTTCTATTTGCTGGAGCCATTTCAGCCTGAAAGCAGCTTTGCATAAGCCTGCAGGCAGTGTTGAGTCAACCCACCTGCCTGCTGTAGGTGATAGGTTATTGCCCAGCCTCAGTGTTCACTACAGACATCATGCTAGAACAGACAGCATGCTAGAACAAGATGGCAGAACAGGATCCAGTTTCTGACATGCCCTACTCTAGCTTCTTCCTCATATAACTGAGAAAGCAGATTTTCCAAGAGACTGAGTGACTCCACCCAGGCCACTCAGCTATCCAGTAGCAGAGCTGGGTCAAAATCCAAAACACTGATCTGACATCAGACAATGGTCTTCACTAAATTGTACAAAAGCATGCTCCCCAATTAAGTAGAAATGAAAAGCCCTTGAAACTGAAAGCCCTTCTGCTCCCAGATCAGTTAGAGTTTTTCTTTTCTTTCTTTTTTTTTAAGTTGGGGTCTCATTCTGTTGCCCAGGCTGGACACAATCACAGCTCACTGCAGCCTCAAACTCCTGGGCTCAAGCAACCCTCCCTCCTCAGCCTCCCAAGTAGTGGGACGACAGGCACATGCCACCACACTCAACTATTTTTTTTTTTTTATTTTTTATAGAGATTAGGTCTCGCTATGTTGTCCAGGCTAGTCTCAAACACCCAGGTTTAAGTGATGCTCCTGTCTCAGCCTCCCAAAGTGCTGAGATTACAGAAGTGAGCCACTGTGCCCGGAAGTTAGGTCTTCTAATATTGACAAGAAGAGATTTAAGAGGAGCGCGGAAAGTCAAATTTTTATTTGAAATCTTGAGGCTGCCTAGTGTGTAACCAGCACACTTAATTGTTTTTAGTCTTTATTTTTATATGCATGACTGTCCTCTCAGAAAGCTGCATTCTTCACCAGGAGTGGACTGGGCCACCTTCATCTTTGTGCCCATCCCAGCTGCTTATCATAGACTTTGTCCCTAATGAACTCTTTTTTGAGATAAATGAGTGCCCTAAACAACGGGACAGGGATAACAGAGATGCTCTACAAATTGAGAATGGGAAGAAAATAATTATCTGAATTTTTCTGAAATGGAAAATGTAGAGAGGATAGTAGTATAAGAATTACCAGGGAGTGGGTTCTAGACACACATTTTTCTGGAGCCCAGTCATTCAGGGATTCTCCACTGTTTGCTTTTTAGGACATTTTGTTGTCTTAATTGAAAGCTCTGCACACCTCTGATCAACGCAGTTTCTCCTAAGGGACCGGCACACAAGCAATCCCTTTGGAAAAGCTTAATCAGCCCTAATTGAGTCACAATACCAACCCAAATTAATTAGACTATTAGAAAGTTGTCAACACCCTTCAAAGTAATCTGGGCTCTGACAACTTCACAGGGGAGTGACTGCTCAAGTCCTAAAAGCTCAAAATTCTACCAGTTATCCCTGAACAAAGACCCCTTTCTTCTCAAAGACATTCACTCCACTGCCTTCTTATTTCTGTACTAAACAGAAATAAAAACAGAGCATCAGACTTTAAGAAAGATCATAGAACTTCAAAGTTCAAAAGGCCTGAATTTCTGCAGTAGTTATAAAAGAAGCAATCTGGTGTCAACTTGTAACCCTTTATCAGAATCCCCATCTCGAAAAAGTGTCATTGCATTCCTGGAAACCAAAAACATCCCTGACAGAAGCAGAACTGAGTGTCCTCAGATCTGAAAGTCACTGGCTCAAAAAATTAAAATTAAACCTCTTAAATTTTCATATCTTGTCACTGCAACAATACAAATATACCCTAAGCTTCCATACTAAGTTCACAACCATAAACGCCGTTCATAATGGTTTAATAATTGGCAGCAAAATTTGCAAACTTATTCTCAGGACACATTTGTTTTGCATTTGATAAATAAAATATTATTGTTTAAAAAAAATAAAACTACCGTGTCCTTACAAAACACCTCTGAGTAGAGAACCCAAACTCATCTAAGACTGTCCTCTCATAAGGTTTCTCATATTCGGTGACAGGTAGCAAGCAGGTATTTCTATCCTCATTTTTGAATGAGGAAACAGCCTCAGGGACTTGAACTTGGTGACTCAGTTTTGAGGCTGAACTAGAAACCGAACTTCAAGATGACCTTGAATCAAATCCAGCCAGAAAAGAAGATATAAATTAGTAGTGACACTTGTTTAGCCTAATGCAATTCCAGAAAAAAAAAAAGTCAGAATAGCCTCATCTAAAAAAATAGCATTACTGTCAAATCCTAAATATTATCATACATATGCCATTACCTTGGCAAATCATCACATAAGCTTGCTGTTTGGGGTAAAGCCATATGTTGCAAACGCTCTATCTATTATTGCTGTTTTAGCTTCCTTCTTCAGTGCAATCCATAGAACACTAAAATGACTATTTGTCTCACAAAATTACTTGCTACAATATGTGCTTACTCTTAGATTTTGCATTTCATTTTAACATCTATTCAAACGCATGTTAATCAGTTTATTTGGAGCAGGGGCATAGTAGGAGGGACCTGCCCTTCAAGTTGGAAACAAAATCACTTCAAAAGACATCTTCTGAAAACCTAGGGCCTCCGCCAAGGCCACTCAACTACCTAGTAACAAAGCTGGGTCAAAATCTAGAACACACATCTGACTCCTACCCAAGGCCCTTAACTTAATTGTACCAAACTGTGTTCCCCAATTGAATGGAAACAATACTTCAAATTAAAGCAGCCCTTCTGCTCTCAGATCAGTTAGGACTCCTAACAATGACACGATGTATTTAAGAGGAGCACTATGTCTGTTTGAAACCTTCCTGTCACTTCAGAACACCCCTTTCACTTCCTTACCCCTGCTCGCCACACCCACATACTTAATGCCACTGGAATTTTGAAGTCCAATGAATTTGAGTTTTCACAATGAGAAAAGCAAGAGCTGAAAAGTTTGGCTGACAGCAAGTCACCCTCCCCACAGCACAATATGCACGACTATTTCTGCCTTTGTGAGAAACAAAAAGCATTACAGTTGAGGAAGAAGAGGGTAGCAAAAGTTGTATTCCAGTAAAATTCATACCCAGTAAGAAATTGAGGGGTACAGTGCAGCGAAGGTAGCAAACTCTCAAAATAAAAAGTAACAATAAAATTCAAAATTCTGTCGACTTAAGTGAATAATAAAATGTAGAGAACATTATTTGACTGATGCATTGCCCAAGACTGTCCAGGGATCTAGGGGGAAGGTCACTCAATGTTATGAACAAGCTCTGCCTGGAACCTAGAGTCTGTCATTCCCAATTGAGCCTGTCATTCCAAACCCACAAGTTAAACTCTCTTTTGCTAAAATTGCTGAGGGCATGAAGACTTCGGGGGGATCATACTTTGAACGCAGACAACAGGAAAAAAAGCCCTCATCCCACTGTATTTAAATTATTCATTTTATCTCCATGCTCCCCTAGGCAGGAGGCTCTGTGAGAGAAGGGCTCATGGAGGTCTGGGACCTCCAGCGCCTACCTGGATCACAGGAGGCCTTTGGTACATGTTTTACTAAATGGATGATTTGCCATGACAGGATGTGACCTGAATTCTACTTACACTTATGAGAGAGCAGTACATCAAAGGAATCTGCCCACCTTGTAGCTTCTTCTGTGGATAGTCTCCTAGAAGAGAAGAAACATCTCCCTTGGGTCTTTCTGAAGTGACCTCCTCGCCTTCAGTGACCACCGATGTTTACTCGAGGGAACAAACCAGAACAATGAGGGGCAAATGAAAACCATACCTGGATGCCTGCAATGCAATTCTGTGACTGCAAATGTGTACACTCTTTTTTTTTTAACTTTAAAAATTTTTTTATTTTAAAATTGTGGGGTACAACTCAGGGTTCAGTATACACATATTTGTTGTGCAGGTACCCTTGCTGATGAGGTGTGCTAAGTGACTGATGGGAAAACCTCAGGATTGGATTTCAGTGACTTTCAGTCGGAAGAACAAAGCTACGTAAGTGTGTGATTTAAAGATGTCAAGGTAGCAACGGAAAAAACCGGTCTTGGAGTCGGAAAAGTTAGGCACAGCTCTTGACGCCATCTTGTACTGCCACCTTGACGTCTGCTCCTCTGAAATGGGGATGATGCTTACCACAGAGCTGTGTGAGGGTTAACTGAGGTGACGTCTGTGACATTTAATGCAACACCAGCACAGAAGAGGGGATGAAACCAGATTATCTGAACCTAAGCATATTTTTAGAGTAAGTTTGAGTGTTTATTTCCAAATTGACAGCTCAGATTGACAATTAAGTAGAACCAAGAAGTATCCTTCACCGTCCACAGTTTCAGGAGTGATGGATGATACGGCTTTCTTAGGGGGAAAGGAGGGATTCCCATTCTGAGATCACCAAGCTGTATATTTTGAAAGGGAAAATAAAGATTCTTTTCATTCACATCCAGTGATACAAAAGAAGCTGCCAAGAAGCAGGAATGTATTGTCCTGGGGTTTATCTGGTCAGCCACTCACTAGAGATGAGTGAGTTATAATACAAGTATAGCCCCATGGCGGGCACCCCACAGCAGGCACCTAGGGAATGCCACGTGGCCATACTACTCACTTGAGAGCGCGGTTGGGTTTGTCGGGAAGAATAGCTGTGAAATCACTACACGAATCTGACTTGTGAGACAGGCATCCCAGTCGAGTCCTCATCCCTTTGTTCCTGCAAGGAGCACAGGGGCAGAAGGATGGGGAAACCGTCACGATCACAGCTGTCAGCTCCATAAGGGTCCCTGGAGCTGCGGCTGCAGACGCCAGCACTGCCCCCACCCTTCCCCTGGCGGTCTCCGAAGACTTCGTGAACAAGAAGAGAACACCTAGAGAATCCTGACTACCTGAACAATCATAGGTGCCCTACCCGGCCCCTAGAGGCTTAACACTTTTTAAAGCTGACAGGGCAAGTTGATAGTAAGTCAATGAAGGTCGTTAGCTTGGAAGGATTTCTAAATTAGGATTCTCTGTAGGGAAAGGAAATACAGTGATGACAAAATAACAATCTACATTTTGCTTTTCCACAAGGAGGGCAAAGTAACAGCAGTAGCAGCAGCAACAGCAGCAGCAGCAGCAGCTCTGATTGCAAAGCCCCAGAAGTAGTACTCATGCCAGGAGGAGAGGGAGGCTTGTGGAGTGCAGGGTGCAGATCAGAGAGTCTCAACGAACAAAGTGTGGGGCCTCCAGGCAGGCCAATTCCGATTCAAGTCCTCCCCACTCATCCCACAAATCTGGTTATCAACATGAATGGTTGCAGACCCACAGGATTGATGCCTGCAGGTAAGGAGGAAAGCAGTTGGCACACTCAAGTAATTAAGAACCAGTGTCCCCTCTGTCGGTTCTTATCCTTGCTTAACTAAGTTCTTATATTCTTACTTATATTTTGGCTTATCTCAATGGGCATAATTTAATTTTTAACATGTATGTTTAAAGTTCTCACATTTTTTATTTTCCAAAGGACCCATATAATGGTATCAGGCACTTAAATAGTTATCTGTTGTAGAGGATCTCATGGGAAATTACACTGATATCTCTTTCTGACTCCCAAAATTAGCCTCTGTTTACTTTTATAAAAATTTTTTTATTTCTTGCATTTTTTAGAGATATGGTCTCTCTATGTTGCCCAGGCTCCTGGCAACATAGAACTCCTGGCCTCAAGTGACCCTCCTGTCTCAGCCTCCTGAGTAGCTAGAATTACAGGCTCAAACCACAATGCCTGGCTAGCCTCTGTTTACCTTTAACCAGAGGTTGGCAAACTACAGTGCTGCAAAGGTGCCTGTTTGTATAAATAAAGTTTTATTGGAATGCAACAATACCATTTGTTTACATATTATCTAAAGCTGCTTTCAACTTTAAGGGCAGAGTTGGACAGTTGCAGCACAGACTATATGGCTCACAAAGCTGAAAATATGTACTCCGGCTCTCGACAGGATAAGTTCGCTGAGCTCTGAGCTTTAACCCTGGCAACTCTTCAGGCTGAGGGCAAAGGTAAGTGGGAAGGGTTTAGTATAATCAGATCAGGACCTAAGAGTGACTCCGCTCATACATTTGTAACAATCTGCCACAGAAATTGTTCTAGAAGATTCTCCTGGCCTGAAAGGAAATCCTTCTGGCCTGGCTTTCTCTTCCTATGTTTTTCAAAAATCCTAGGGCTGGGCAGAGACCTTAGAGGTCATCCAATTCAATCGTTTCCTTTTACTTCAAATGGATTATCATCCCTGGCAATTGTATTTGTTCACAGAAATCTTATTCAACAAATGTCGACTGGGATGGGATGATATTTGGCAGGGATGGACAGCATTTGTATTCCACAGCACATCTCTGAAGAACCTCTCAGGGCTGGAACATCCAAGTTCCCAGAAATAGCCTCTCCCCTGCTCCCACCTCGAATCTCCGCCAGGCCGCATAGCGAAGCCATCTATTTCATGACATTTCCAAACATGGGCTACAGCTAATCTATCTCCTGAGACAGCGAGCATCTTATGTGTCCACTCACTCCTGGAAATCACAGGGTGTCTGACACCAGGCCATGCAAGCAACTGAGTCATCACATTCTGTGAATTCAAGTAAAGGCCCTGCTCAGGTCTCACCACAGGTCAGAACCCACTTTCAGCAAGTTGGTTCCTTCCTCAGTGCCTCAAGATCATCAATCATAACACACACAGGTCACTGTCCCCAAAGAGCAATTAAGAGGACTTTCAAAATATGGCAAATCCACACAAGCCATTCAACAAGGTTTAGCAAGGGGCCAGTGTAAAGGGTGCGACTTGTTACCAAGACAACTGTGATTCTCCCAAAGCTTCAACAAATTATTCTTTGGGACAGAATGGTTTTTATTTTTTATCTTTCTAGCTGAGACCTAAATTATAACTTCCTTAGTTATAACTTCCTTCCTTAGTGTGAAATAATGGGAGCAAAAGTCAAAAGTTAAGGTTGCTCAAAAAAAATAAATAAATACAAATTAAAAAACACACTAGGCTTTCCCTCCTATGTCTTCTCCCTACAGCCCCTCTCTCAATAACTCAGAGAGATCCCTAAATGGTTCCATACAAGCTCATGCACAGTCCCTCACCCCATCCCACAAGTTTCTGACAAGATGTCCCACCAGCCAATGGGAGGGCTCGGAGCCAAGGCAGGTCCTGCTTGCAAGGGCACAACTTTGCAAGAAGCGCACAGGCAAAAAAGCACAGTCCACATGATAGGCCTAGGGGGACAGGGGCGAGTGGACCACCCGCTGGCTGAGAAGGCCTGGGCCAGGCTCAAATAGCAAAAGGAAAGGGAAGGCAGAGAAAAGAGGAAAGGGGCGGGGACAAGAAAACAGGTCATCAGTGCGTTACCTGCGTGGCATCAGTAAGGCAGCCATACAGGCATCCGCTTACGGTTAACCCTTGGGCTGATGGTCAGGGACGTCAGGGCAGGAAATAATACTGCGGGGCTCAGGGGTTTACCCTTCACGTCCTCTCACCTAAAATCAAAGAATCTGCTGTAAGAGGGGCCACCCTCTCTCCTCTGACTGCACTGTATATCCTCTTAGATGGCTTTCTGCCAATGGGACACCTCCCTGCAGAAACATCCCCAGACCCCACAAATGGTTGCATGTCCTTAGCCAGGGCAATGAGCCAAAGATGGACAAGAACACATTATTGGTGGCTTCACACTGCTGACTGTTAATCAGGAGTTCCTACTTTCCCAACCACTGGCCATCCACAATAAAGTGGGGCACCTGCCTCAGGGGAGGTGTGGGCCTGGCAAACCCAAAATTACTGTTCTCTTTCTCTTACTAGAGTGGGGCCCAGGTGACCAGCCAGCAACGAGCGGTGGAAAGGGGTCAACCCTTGCTCCAAAATAATTTGACCGGATGCTGCTCTGATTCTCACCTCCCTCCAGGGGCGCCTGTCCCTAGGTGGGAGTGTGTGGGGACTCGGGAAGGTGTGGGAGTGGAAAGGAGGTTAGAGGAACTCAAGGAAGGCTTGTCAGGCACCGTCACCACACGGGCTTGTTCCTCTGCAGGGGTCACAGTCTCAGGCTGAAGAAATGAATATGCAAGTTACCCTTTTCTGCCCATATGGAGGCTGCATGACCTTCCTCAGCCTGGGGACTGGCCCATGCTTGACCCGAAGCAGGAAGGACATGAGGGTTGGGGGAGGAAGGGGTCATGGAGGTTGAGGGCTGATTGACTTGTAGTCCTCCTCTCCTGAGTGTCCCATTCTCAGGGCTTCCAACCCTTTGTTTCCACAAAAGAACTCTGATAGGAAGGAACACGTGAAGAGAGCAGCCTATCCGTAAAAGGGTTCCCCGGGGGAACTCTGACACCAAACAGAGAATCCATTTTAAAAGGATCCTAATTTAGATAGATAAGGCTCCTGTGTGAGCTACGCCATTTAAATTATTTTTATAATACCCTGACATTTTATAGATACCTTTTAAAAATAGCTTCTCTAATAACACTATAATTAATAAAATAAAAGATTACTTTGATAAAAATAGGGAAAAAATTAGTTAGACTTTGTGTGAAGTCTCATCCCCTGTGGACTGTGGTCCCAGGGAGCAGGGACATTTCCTTCATCTTTGTCCTAACAGGGCTTACACCTGCTTGCAGAAGTCGGGAAATTGAAGCCCTTAGCAGCTGTCAGGGTCCCTAGAAATCATGTTTGGAGGCTCCTAAGCCTCTTACTATGAGATATGGCTCCAGGGAAAGGGGAAGCCCATGCAGGGGTCTCCATGATCCTGAGAGGAGCCAGAGACTGCTATCCACATACATGGCAGGCAAGGTCGCCGGGGGCAGGGATCACCCAGGCTTCTGTCCCTTCGTTGTTGTGTCCCCATCCCTCTGCCAGCCCACACAGGCTTGCCCTGCCATTCAGCTGCCTGCCACTCTCTCTTCCAGATCCAGCACTGGCCAAATGGCCACTCAGACCCTCCACCACCCCTGCACTGGGCTCAGCCTCAGACTCCATAAGAATCAGCAGGATTCTCTGACCCAGCTGCCTTGTTCATCCGGACACCCCAGGGCTCTTGTCCCATTTGGCCCTAGACATATGAGGGTCAGAGCTAGAGATGGCCCAGAGCCCAGGAAGTTCAAAGGCATGATGGCACTGCAGTCCATGTGCTCTTGTAGGTGGGCACCAAGTCGCAGGTGAGTCTGGGGCAGAAAGAACGGGACATAATGGAAAGAGAGGAGACTCAAGGGGAAGAAAAAACAAAGGTTAGAGGCACAGAGCAAAGATTTATAAAGAGGGGGAGAGAAACTAAGAGCCTCAGCAGGGAGAAAGCAATCACTATGCATGAAGAGGCAGATTAATTAAATATGGATAATGCAATCGGTGCACACAGACACCCCAGAGAGGAAAGAGCAAAGCAAAAGCAGTACTCACTGTCTTTGGCCAGTCCTCATGGCCTGCGGGTCTTTGCCAACCGGATGGTCAGAGAGGCTGCGGGTTAAGGAGCTCTGGAGAAAAAGTAGATCTTTCTTTTAGCAGTCAAATCCTTGGCGGGTGAAGGGCATGTGTGCATGAACACACTGGCGCGCACACACATACACATATACACACGCAGGCATGCCCAACACACCTCCCACCACTTGAGCCAGGCAGCGAGCGGCCCCGCTGCAAGCTCTTCTCTCTGCCTGTCACATCCAGTAAATACTGAAGCAGCCTACACCCAGCGGGCGGTGGCTCGGCTCCCGGGCACAGTCTGCACGCCCATCCTCATTGGCAGGATGCAGGAGGTGTCCCTGGGCAGAGCTCAGCCTCACTAACCTGAAGCTCCTCTGGCTGCAGCCCAGGGAGAAGTCCCCACAGCCCACAGCTGCCTCCCTCTGCACCCAAGGGCTGTGCAGGGGCAGCAAAGAATAGGTATTAACTCTTTCCAGGCACCGATGAGCTGAAGACCAAGCATCCGGGGGTCGTGTTCTAATGAGTCCTGCTGCCTGCTGAAGGTTAGCTGCGGCGCCAGGAGCAGGGAGCAGAAAGATCTTGCCCCAGACAGCTGCTGACAGCAGGAGCCAGGCCGAATCACATCTCCTAATGAGCCAGGAGGAGGGGGCTGTCTTGCTGGGTGTGATGTGATGTGATAAATGCAGGGAGCAGGAAAGCTACGGGGCAGGTCACACATCTAAATTCCACCCCCTTGCTCCCAATTTCTATGGTGTGCATGGCCAAGCCAAAGCACACAGCCCTGAAATGAGCCCTCCCTGCCCCGTCTCAGCGGTCCCCGTGACCCTAAGAGTGTGTCTCCCCTAGCCCAGCTCCACTCCCACCCCAGCCCATGCCAAACACACAGCTCCCCACTTCATAATGAGAAATCTCCACCTCCTCTGCCTCCCCAAACATGCAGATTTCCCACACTTGCCTCTCACCTGGCTTTTCCTACAGTAGAGACTCACCTCTCTCCCTCATCATCACCTAGCAACTTCCCCCTACTTGCTTTTGTCATGGAGTAAGACTTTCCTCTTTGTTCTGCCCGAGCTACACATGATCCCCTATTTTTCTGTCTTTTCCCTTTTTTCTTCCAAAGCTCCTTACCCACATGTGTCTTCACACTGCCTGCTTCAGTTCCAGGAGGAGGACTCTCTTCCTGCTTGCCCTAGTACCGTGTTTCTCCAAGTGTGGTACCGGGACCAGCAGTGTCAGCATCACCTGGGAAGGGTTAAAAATTCAAATTCTCAGGCCCCACCCCCAGACCTACAGACTCAGAAACTCTGGGGATGGGCCCAGACTTCCAGGTGATTCTGATGCATGCTAAAGTTTGCAGACCAGTGTCCTGGGAGAAGGCGTGTCTTCTCATTTTGCTCTAGGTCTCTAAGGCTGCGTCTACACTCCCACTCAGGAGCCAACTCACCCAGTCTTTGCTGCAAGTCATTTCTGAAACCCAGAGGGTTGCAGAAATCTCAACAGAAAGTGATGGCTTTATGATAATGATAATAGATTCCATTTGTTTAACCTTTTAAGATGTATAAAGCATTTTCATGTTTGTCACGCAACAATCCTATGCCATCATCAGAGAGGGGTATTATTATTCCCGTGTTACAGACAAAAAAACAACAACAGAGGCTAGGAAAGGTGAAGTGCCTTTTTCAAGGTGACACAACATACAGGAGGGGGCACAAGGACCAGAATTTGTGTCTTATGACAAAGCTTTTTCTACTACGTCATACTGGGACCCAGCGTTTCTGGGCAGATCTATTGGTGCATAACCTGTATTCTCGCAGTGAAATGACATTGCCATAACTACTCATCACCTGATGATAGGAGGAAACAAAAATTCTGATGCCGCCTCCACAGTGACTCATTGTCTCTCTCTCTGATAATGTCCCCAGTGCCCCTCTGTTAAAGAAAGGGAATTTTGTATCATAAAATAAGATGCAAACAGACCGTTTCCCATTCCTTATAACTCCTTTCTTGAACCCTGTTGCTAGCTAAGATTTAGAACTTAAGTAGAAAGAGAATCCTTCACTTCTGGATGCTTTCCTGGCACACTGTACCATAAGAAACAGTACAGATAAGCTGGTGAATTGTGAAGCCCTTCCCTAAACTAAAATATGTTTATACTACAAGGCAAATTCACACAGCTAATGTTTAATGAGCAATTAGTATGAGCCAGACACTATGCTAAACACTGTACTTAAGTCTTCTTATTTAATTACTTATATGTTTATATTTTTATTTAATTCTGACAACAAATTTGCAAAGGACCAGACACCTTTATCATTCCCCTTTTACAGATGGAAAAATAGACAAGCAATTTACAAGTGGCAGAGCTGGTGTGTGATAGCAAGCTTGATGTGTCCAGCCCCTCACTTTAACACAAAGGTAGTGTTATCATGGGACTCTTCCTAGCAGTGCTAAACCAGTGGAACAAAGGCCTTCTCCACATCTCATGCTGCCCAGGCTGGTATCTAGGAAGCAAAGGCCCCAGGGAGAGAGGCCAGGGCTGCAAATGGGCCCAAGTTTCAAGTGAAGGTGAATCAATATTTACCAGGCATCAGAATCTTCGATTAACCTTCAGAGAAGTAATATAGTCACAGAAAGTCAATAAGTCAAATGTTCAAGAAAAGCTATAGTAACTCAGAAAGATTCAAAGCAAGGAGCAGGAATATAAAGAACAGAGGGACAAGAGTACGTGAGCACGTATAACACAAGGAAAAACAGAAAACTAAAACTAGTCCAAACTTTTTTTGCCAAAACGCTCCTAAACGCCAAGAAGTAACCACAAAGCACCCCAGTTTGAGAAGCGCAGACCTAGTGCAGACCTTCTCTCATGGGAGGACACAAATTAAGGAAAAATAAGCTGAACCTAAAATAAAGCATTCTAGCACTGTCCTCTTTCCTGGAGGAAAGAAATGGGAAACAGCAAGCAGGGCCAGGTGCTCTTGAGAGAGGGCCTGCCCGCCTAAACCCCTGCTCCGTGTGAGACAATGGGAATTAACAGCAAAGGGAATAAGTCATAGAGTCTGTCTATGACTTAACACACAGGATCCACAAGCATTTTCATGTTTGTCACGCAACAATCCAATGCCATCATCAGGGAGGGTATTATTATTTCCATGTTACAGGCAAAAAAAAAAAAAAACCAAAACCGAGGCGAGAAAAGATGAAGTGCCTTTTTCAAGGTGACACAACAGGCAGGAGGAGGTGCACAGAACACAGAGCTCTGGATTCTTTTCTGGCTCCTGACGTGCTGGCTGAAGACTGGACACAGGACATCTCAACTGGTCACACTCACAGTTTTTCCCAGAAAAACAGAGATTTCAAGCCCCGCCCTTGCCTCTGGGCTGCCCGGCACCCCTGTGCTCTTCCTGCTCTTCCTACTTTACACTTGACCCGTGTGGGAAGCTCTTTCCTCTCAGGCACCCACCACTTCTCTCCAGAACCGAGGCTTTAGTCCTGCCTCTCTGGAGTGCCACCTGCTTTTCCAGAGCTCTGTTGGACAGCTCCTCGTGTCTCAGACCCTGCTCACCAACCTGTCTTGAAACAATCACTGTCCCTACCCCAATCCTCCTCTCCTGCTGGATTCCCTGTGTTTGTTCATAAGACCACTCTGTCCTCGACCCACAGGGCAATGAGTACAGGCATTTCTGACTTCTTTTCCTCCATTCCCCTTACTGAATTTGTTTTTTAAATCTTGCCATATTTCTGAAATATTTATTAACTTGGATCCCTCCCATTCATTGATGTTGCCGTGTCAGAGGCTGTTCGGCCCCCAGCATGTGGCATGCATGTCCTCCTGCCCCTCTTAATTAACTGATCCCCTGCCTCATTTGTCCTCCGCCCACCTGCAATTGCACACTACACTACCACCAGAGCTACCCCACTGAACAGCTACCATAATGTGGATCATTTGTGATGTCATTGTTGATGGACACTATTGCAGCTCTTTGTTTTGCCTGACAATGAGTTGGTCCCATTTATCTATCCAGTTTTATATCCAATTGCACACATGCACACACGCGCACACACACACACACACACACACACACACACACACACACACACACACACACACACACTAAACACCTGCTCCATGTGAGGCAATGAGGAGTAACAGCAAAAGGAGTAAGTCTTGGAGTCTGTCTGATTCCTCTGCTGTTCCCTCTGCCCAGAAATGATTTGCCTGTTCTCTTTTATTTATTTGTTTGCTTGTTTGTTTGTTCATTATTTATTTATTGAAGATAGGGTCTTGGTATGCTGTCCAGGCTGGCTCAAACTCCTGGACTCAAGCAATTCTCTTGCTTCTGCCTCCTCAAGGGCTGGAATTACAGGTATGACCCACTGCACCCGGCCCCAAACTGCTGCTTAACTCCCAGCTCCTTCTCTAAACTCATTACCTCAAACTAAAAATTGTCCTTTCCAAAGCTTTTTCAGAACTTCTCCAATCAGAAGGAACCTCTCCATCCAAATACCAGCAGCACCTTGCTGCATGAGTCTCTGACAGCCCACACCATGGGCTTAGTTTATCCCTGTGATTTATGTTTTCTGATTCTCTCAACTGACTGTGCGCGCCAATAAGACAGACTCTATGACTTACTCCCTTTGCTGTTAATTCTCATTGCCTCACAGGGAGCAGGTGTTTAGTAAATGTCGACTGAGTTTGATTTTGAGTTTATGAAAAATCTGAAAAAGCACCGAGGATTCCTTATGACAGAAGCATGTTAGACTTCAGCGGTCTCGTGGTCAAGACTGAAGCTAACAGAATGCAATGATACTCAGGACAGCTGCAGCAGCACAGGTACAGAAAGGCCTTTGCAAGCTATCCCAACAGTCTGATCGGGGCAGGGTAGAATTAATCAAGAGCAAAAGGATCACCTGGCATTGTAATTAAATTGAAGATAAAGGGAATTTAAATCTGCAATATAATATGTTTAAAAACCGTCACCGTGGAGGAGGAGGTTTATTGCTAAATGCCCCCTGTGTGTTTATTTAATCAACATCCCACCTAGTACCACAATAAAAGCTTTTAATAAAACAGTCATTTGGATATTAGATTTGAATTCTGGTCAGCATGCTAAAGCTCTTCCATAAATCTTTTAAAAGCAATTTCCACTTTGTAGCTTCCTAGTAACAGTAGAAACATGAATCAACATATGCTGCATTGATTTAGGGTTTCCATGGAGACTGGAAGGACACAGGGAAGGGCAGGACAGAAAGAGGCCACTTGGCCCAAAATTCTACTTTAAAAAATGCATCTTGATTCCATTCCTCTGAGCATTCGCAGCCTCATTTCCTGTTCATCAGTTCAAGCATCCAGATATTTAATTTGTAATAACCCTGCTCGACTCCTCCTAAGGAATATCAGAGGGGACATGGAGAGAAGTCAGCCACTAAAGCTGTGAGCCCATGAGGTTTGCAAAGAAAACCCGAGACGCACAGGTTTGGAATAGGAAGAGAGGGCCTTCGGTCCTAGCTCTGCCAGTAACTTCCTCCGTGACACCAGCTGCTTTACAAGCTCTGTGATCACTAACTAACATGACCACGCGACTTATACCTCAATTTCCTCTGTGAAGCACAAATTAACACACCTGCCCTGTCTATTTTTCAGGGTGATTATATGCAAAGAAATAAGAGAGACTGTGGGGAAATGCTTTGTCAATTCCAGTACACCATACCCTGTTATTAGATTTGAAGATGACCTTTAACCTCCCTTCGAATGGAATTTTGCCAGTGAGCAAGTATATGCAGAAATGATCGCTGATTTAGTGGCAAGTAGACTGACCTGGAAAAGAGGGTACAGTGATGTGACAACCTTGAGTTTCCATCTCTGCTTCATCATTTTCTAAATCTGAAGCTGTGGACAAGCTGCTTGCCCTCTCTGAGTGTCATTTTCATCATGGGTTGGAGGATAATACCAGGACCAATGTCATGGGCTTGTTAAAAAGATTAAATTAGATAATGTCACCAAATGTTTGCCCAATTCTTGACAAATGACTAAGAGCTGTTAGGTGTGAGCCACAATCATCCTTGCCTTCTCGACCATGTTCCATCATCTGTAAAATGGAAATTAGAATTCCTACTACTTCCCTTCTTTACACAGGGGATGACTTTGACAATGTCTGTTCAGCCATTTAATAGGCTGTTTGGGGAAAGGTGCTATATAAATAGAATGTCATTATTTAAAGAGTCATTTTTTACCACCTGCTCAC